TTCTACGTAGAAGAAAACTTAACTACGCATCACTGCGTATCACTCATGCAACGCACACGCACATATCTGTCAGATGAAGACATGTCGTATTCGCGCGTCTAGTATTTAAATCGAATCCGCGTTCCGCGAAATTTCAGCCGATTTGGATAAAAGCCTTTCGAGACTTTCAGAACGGTGCGCGGACCATGGAAATGGCACAGAAACGTCGGAAACCGGAATAAATTTCAAGATACGGCTCTTTCTTTTTTCCGATGCATCCGTCCGATTCTTTTCCGCATCGTCTTCTCCCTCGTGATTCCATCGAACCATTTTATAACATTTGCGATATTCGCGGAGTGTATGAGTGAGTGGAGCGAAGAAATCTTCGATAGGTATGGCGGCAGAATTCTTTCGAGAACGTTATGCGACCGTAAGAAGGAACTTATTTTGCATGAAAAAATAAATATAAAACATTAAATTGTAACATTGCATAAAATTTTTTAATATTATTTAAATATATATATATATATTTTTTTTTAATTTGAAAAATAATTTGTAGCAACGCAAATATTACTTTTTTTCATTTTATAAACAGAATAATATGAGAAATTTAATTAATATACAATAAAGGCTATTAAAATCTAATAAAATAACGTATAATACTTTATTACATTTCATATAAACAATGTTCAAACGTTTCAATCTTTTTCCAACGGTCCTCTTCAGTAAATACATACAAAACTTACATATATGTTAAACATGTATAAATTATTATATTTATGCTTAAGCCTACAATGATCATAATTACTGGTCCTGATGTCCTGATATCCGTTGATTCACTTGTCACAGAACCATCATGTTTAACAGAATTTTCAATATTTTCAGCAGAAACGACAATCAAGAATTATGCTTGGATAACCATGTACATAATGATTAATTATCAATATGATATGAACATTGTTGTACTAAATTCTTCAATTTATCGATTTTCCGATCAATAATTATCGTGTGACATTTCACAAACGTATGTCGTATATACGTATATGTTTGCACTGAAGAGAACCATTGGAAAAAGATCGAAATGTTTGAACATTATTTATATGAAATGTAATAAAGCATTTTAATTATAGCATACGTTATCTTGTTAAGCTCTAATAACTCTTAGTGCATATTAATTGAATTTTATTCATATTGAGCCGTAACTCATATTATTCTTAATTGATAATATGAAAAGTTTTGTATTATTTTATAAACAAAAATGATATAAAATTTTTTGATGTTTCAATAGCGTTGAAAAATTAATGTCAATAAATTATAAATTACATAAATTTCAATATGACAGATAGTAATTTTTTTATTTCAAGATTAATTTTATTAAAAATAAAATTTAATCTACATAAAATTTTATTCTCAAATTTCCATTCTCATACAAAATCACTATTCCTTTCTGATTTTATATCACCGATAATAGGTAATTTTACAAATTATACTATTGTTAAAAATCACAGAAATTAAAACTTTTATTTTTCAAATTTAAATTCGCAAAGGATATGTTTCAAGTGGAAAGGCAGATCCCTCGGGTTGTGAAATTTATTCACGAAATTTATTCATTTTTGATGTATGTTCACCGCGCAAGATTTAATACGAAAGTCGAAAGGACTTAACCCCTTGAAGTACCGACGGGTGTGCGTCTCCTGGGCGTTCATTTAAATTCTTGCCGCGCCGGCAGCAACTGTGTTGAGATCCTTCCTATGGTGAATACATTGTCAAAAATTATTCAAATGATGGAAAGTATTATAAATACTTTATATTATTATAGTATTATTACGCTGATCCAATAATTAAGTTTACAGATATATTTTTTCTTTTCTCTCTCTTCCTAGAAATAATACAGAAAAAATACGCAAATATATATATATATAACTCTTTATATCTCTTACATTTCACATAAATTTCGTTTCGATATCGAGTAAATTCAATAATTATTTAATAAAAGATAATCCTTTAATACATTGAAAATGTCAAGCGTGATATTTTTTGTAAATGTAGAAAAATAATATTGATATTTTTGTTAAACTTGAAAAGAAATTATAAAATGTCATAAGATATATGTCGATATATTTTTATCTCGATTTAAAAATTAGATCCTCTAAGACTCTAAGGTAACACATACTTGCTTTTTTGTTATTCAACACTTTTTCATTATAGATATTACTTTTTTCTGCCATCTTCTTTCTCCTATCCTAATGAAAAAATTACACAAAAAAATGCATATTATCATAATAGTATAAAAAAAAGTACTGTAAGTATTAGATTTCCATTTATATTTAGCTCCATAAAAAATTAGTCAAATCATTATCCAAATTACTGGTCTAAAAAGTAAAAAACTTCAAGCTTTAATCTATTTTTTGAATCATTTCATTATTTTTAACAAAATTACTCTTAAAAATTGCCTATTTTTGAAGGAGAGAATAAGGATTCTCTTAATTTTTTGGAATAGTGTACATTTGTGAATAAAAATATACGTATGTAGTATATATATATAAATATAAGAGTGTGTGTGTGTGTGCGCGCGTGCGTGCATGCGTGCGTGCGTGTGTATATATGTGTGTATTTTTGTGTGTATGTGTGTGTGTGAATATGTATCTAATTATCATTTTCTTAAATAAAAATTTTTAATTAGTTATTTATTACACACACACACACACACACACACACACACACACACACACACACACACACACATATATATATATATACTTCTGTTTTTTTAGAAATAATTGGACAAAATATAATGCAAATTACGAAAGAGCTAACGTATTGCGTATTGGCGGTAAGCGAACTTTTCATCCGAACGAACTTGCTCGTCATGAGTTCGACAAACGATAAAGTTTCGAGGCTGTGGTAAATCGAGGCTCGAAATGCCGTATAATTCCGCAACTCACGAAAACCTTTCATCTCGCGAGGAATTAATTTATACGAGCGTGTTATCGGATGAAGCCGAACCCTTCTTCCAATGCTACCTGGAGGGCTCACGATGGAATCCCTGACTGAATTGAAATTGTTCGCGGATGAAATTCCCGAGGTGTGTTCTCGAGCTTCGGAATCAAGCCTTAACAAACTTCAAATAGAAACGCGAACGGGTGTCTAAACTTTGCCCGGACCGATCGGACAAAGTGCGACGATCGGAGAAGAAAAATTGCCACGACCATCCCTTATTCACCCGAGGAATTAGCGTGATTAATTAAGAGGTCGCTTTTTGTCGCTCGCATTCAGGTCGTTGAGTTGATCCGAGTGCTTCTCCGCAGCTGACGTACGACCTTAAAAGGGTCGTAGCTGAGCAATGTGCACTCTTTGAACGTCATGCACTCTTTTGCCACTGATTATATATATATATATA